TCTCTTTTACAATCACTTAAAACAAAATAACAAAAATGATAAAGTAAATAAAAAGTGGTTCCTGAAAATCTCTCTGAACTAACTCCCCAGAGAAGAACTTTCAAAACTTGCCAATATTTTCAGGACTCTTTTCTAAGTCATCTCTTCTTTCTTTTATTGTTTTCCAAGAGGTGCCTTGGGATATTTTCAAAATGTGTCTTGATTCAATATATTTGCCATGAGACTGCATCCTTTCATGCATCCTTTCATGATAATTTTTGTCCTTTCATAATAATTTTTGTCCATTATGGTTACAACCACCTATTAAGCCAATGGGTGCCTCAAAAACCTCTCGAAATTGGTGAAAATCAATTTTACTTGTTTATTAACTGCCACTAGTGCTTAAGCGCAGGGTCTCAGCGCTTAGGTGCGACCTTCTCTGTTTAACCGACACTTAAGCGTCGGATCTGGCGCTTAGGCGCCAAACCTCTTTTGCACAATTTTTCACCTTTTTGCTCCAAATTTGATCCTTTTTTCACTCCTTTAAGCATTTTTCCATTTTTACTTATATCTGCAAGAAAAACACAAAAATAACTTCCATTAAAGCGCAATATCTCAAAAAATAGGTATAAAAATGTGTTTAAAAACACTATATATTTTGGGTGTATCAGCCACCTTATTAAGTGTTTTGATAAAAGCCCATTCTTTATGTTCGGTTGTATTGTTCTTCCTCATATAAGAGCTACTCTACCAGCCTTTGAGAAATCCCCGATGGGGGTCACTTCACCATGACTAACGGAAGCATTTCTGGGATGCGTCATTGTGTTCATCCAATTACTTAGTCCGATTAATTTTTGTACCCTTTAAACAGGAATTACTGTGCCAATTTTGAGCAATCCCCAATGAGAGTCTCGCTTAACAGACTCCTGCTAGGATATGAGCAATCCCCAATGAGAGTCTCGCTTAACAGACTCTTGCTAGGATATCCATGCGAGTTGGACCACTCAGTCCACCTGATTTGAGTAATTTATTGCTTTGCTAGTAGGCATGTTGTATCAATTAGAGTACTTGCCCACATAGTTGATCCGTGCCTAATCGGGGTCCTCAATGCCCAATCTGATTGTAATGCTTTCCTTGATAAGGACTACTTTGCTCATTCTTAAAGAAAACCACAACCAGTTTTGCTCAGTCACTGCTTATGAAAAGTGCCCCGAGGTTAGACAATCTAGAAATCTTAACCATGTAGATACCTCTTGCGTATCTTGATCAACTCAGTTGATCTTGTACACCATTTAAGATTGTACATCGTGTTAACAATGGCTTATGTTTACCTAGTCTGCACACACATATACGAGGATGTCTTCGTTCTCACAAAAAATCCCCAGCAGGTTATAGGGAAATACTCCCCTGTGGAACCCTCATATAAAACCTGTAACAAAGAAAACCTCTCATAGGCTGTTGGTTTTCCCTAACATGATATTCTTGACTGCTTTAGTTAATTTTGACCGCAACATGGAGTACCATGTCACATCAAATTTACAATTGATGCATGGATCCCCAACTAAACTATGTGTCATTAGTGCTTACACAAAAGCATTTTTTGTGGTTAGACCATCTTGATCCCCTAACCTTATTGATATTTTTTTATCGGCGTTGGTTGGTTCTGCCCACCCCGTTGAATGACATGTTGTGTTAGCCGTTCAACTGACCCATGTCTACATCAAGACCTCTGCTGCCTCCACAACAAGAATTAGATTATTAAATGAGAGAATCCCCAACTAGGGTTTTCTCGTTAGTGCGCTTAAAGCACCATGGTGGTTAGATCGTTCTAAGTCACATAACCCTGTTCATATATTCGATTTAGATTATTAAATGAGAGAATCCCCAACTAGGGTTGTCTCGTTAGTGCGCTTAAAGCACCATGGTGTTAGATCGTTCTAAGTCACATAACTCTGTTCATATATTCGACTACTTTGGTTTGTTCTATCTGCCATATCGAGCTACATGTCTTGTCATTTCTACAGCCACTCCATGTTTTGTCAGAGCCCTCTTGTCAGCTCATAACAAAAATACCTCTTATAGGTTGGGTTGTCAGATTTCCTTAAAAATGAGGGCCACTCTACTAGTGCATAAGGAATCCCTAGCATAATCATTATGCTAGAATGTGTGAAAGCACCACGTAGTTGGATTGTCTCATGCGCCCAACCCTCTTCAATACCTCTACAGTATTTTGATCGACTTGGCCGACTTTGCTCACCATCTCAAAGTGCATGTCACACTAGTTTGAGCCATTTGTAGCCTTGATTAGTCCATGCTTAAGACATGTATCTATGTGCCTACAAGAAATCCCCACTGAGGGTCACATCGCTAAAATGGTGTAACAGTGTTGCAAGGGCAGATAACTCAACGCATCCAACACCTTTTTCATGTCTCTTCTGACTGGCTTGAGCTTGTTCACCTTGAAGCTATCCCCAACAAGATTCTTCTAGTGGGTACATTCAGAGAACACCTCTTCAGCAATTCCCTTGACTTGGTTGATCCTACTCACCATGTCAAGTCGCATGTTGCAATAATCTAAGCTTTATGCCAGTCCGATTAGTCCATGATTAAGCCAAACATTTTCATGCCTGCAAAACTCCCCAACATGAGTTAACCTACTAAGGGCCGCATGTACTATAGGGCTGGATAGCGTTGTTCATCTGACCCCCTTCGACACCATGTTTAATGTGGTCGACTTTCATCACCTTGTCAGGGGACATGCCGTAATAGTTAGACTACTTCAACTAGTTGAATGATCCGTGTCCGGTGGTGATGTTCTAATATTCGATGGTACCATGACGTTGTATGCGGCGAAGACTGCTATACTCATTCTTATGGACCTGTCTTGGATTACTAGATTTCTTTGCCCATCTAGCATATGAGGCCTCTCGAGCTATACAACATTCTATTTGGTACTTTTATGAGGGTTTCTTGTCTTTTGACAATTCATTGGCCTCATAGCCACATACTTTGATGTTTCTTGAGCCATACGACCTTAGCGTCAGCTCTGTTAAGAGGACATCTCATCTTCATATATCTTAAGCTTTATAGCCACCTGCTCCAATGCTTCTCAGACTATATGACGTTCTAGTTGGTTCCTCTATGAAAGCACAATAGATGACATGGTTCATTCAAAATGATCAAACCTTCTCAATCAGTCATACCTTTTCAGTTGATGGCCGATTAAAGCTCAAGTCTGCATACATCAGATGTTCTAGCCACTTGATTGAGCAATAAGTGTCTCGCTCAGCGGGAAACACATCAGATGCTTTGTCAATTTCTTACAAGGAGGCATAACAGATGACTTGGGTTACACAAGGTAGCCCAATCTTCTTACCTTGTGAATCCCTTAAGTCTCTCAACATTTCTCTTTATTGTAGCAGGAATTTGAGGTCTCATTACCTCAGTTGGATCTCAGGACCGGGTGTGAATCACAAGGAGTCCCATCTTGATATGCTCTTTTTATACAACATTCGGGTTGGATATAAGTCCCTTGGTAGTCCTCCTCTAGGTGTCTCACTCAACAGAAACCACAACGGAAGCTCAGTCGGTTTCTTACGAGGACGCATAACTAATGACTCAGTTACACCATATAGCCTTGCCTTCTTACCTTGCGCACTCCTTAAAGTAGAATGTAAGTCCCTCGAAGTTTATCCTTATTGTAACAGGTACTTTGAGGTCACATATCTCAGTCAAAACTCAGGACCAAATGCGAATCCTAACAGTTCCCCTCCTGATACGATCACTCCCTACAACATTCGAGTGGGACATGAGTTTTTTGACATTCCCCCTTTGCCTGTAAATCGATGACCCGAGTCACACGAGAATACCTGACCTTCTCATCTATTTATGTTGTTTAGTCACTAAACTAGTCAGGGTTCTAGTCAGAATCCACCAGACTCCTCAGCCTTATGACTGAACTATGGGTGCTTCGCTCGATGGGAACCAGAACAAATGCTTGGTCGGTTTCTTATGACTAGACATATCAAATGACTCGGGTTACACGAGATAACTCAGGCTTCTTACTTCGCGTACCTGTTAGGGAAGGATATAAGTTTCTTGACATTTCTCCTTACTATTGCAGTTATTAAAAGTATTACACTTCATCCACCCTTGAGTTTGTGGTCACGCCTCTACGACTCTTGAACCATTGTATTGGGTCAGACTTTTACAACCCATGAACCCATTCTTAGGTTATGCCTCTACGACTTTTGAACCCACCTTTTGAGTCAGGTGCAAGTTCCATGCACATTCCTTCTCATCTCTCTGAGAGCGAAAATGGCACATGGAGTTTTCCTCCCTAGGGCGCTTGGCGCTTTTTGGTGGCTTATGTCATGTTGACTACTAATCTAGGCTCGATAAAAAATTAAGCAGCTACCAACAAGTGCATTGTGCCTTAACGACATAACATAATTGTTGGGAGTCCTTTGTTGGATCAATTTTTGATGTTACAAGTGTAGGATGTCCGCTCGGAGGCTATGAAATCTTGATTGTTGTATGTGTTGATTCTCGTATTACAAGATATCTATTTAAGACATTTCGACACATGTTGAGGGGCTCGTTGTCGGGATTATCATGCTAGACTTTGGCCATTAATCAAGTGAGGGCCGATCAACATTTTTGCCCATCAAATTGGGTCGATAGAACATATTTGCCGGACCGTGCATGAAACTGATTCAAATTGGATCATCCATCAATGAATTTGTCAAGATGATTACAAACGACGAAGCAGACTGCTTAAACGCATTAGGAACATCGATTTTACTAGAAAAGAACATCAATTTCACTATGATTTTGTGAACTAGCCAGTAATACGCAAATCGAGACTTATTTTAATAATAATAATAATAATAATTATTATTATTATAAAATAAAAAAAAAAAAGGGAAAAAAAGCCTCCCTACTCACGCGATCTTGCCCTCTCGGCCGGACGGACT